TGTACAGGGCTTAGGTGCACTGAATCAAAACAGGACTTTGAAAGAGTGACCCAAATATTCCAAACTTACATAAGTAGTCACAATTGGGTTTAATATGCTTGATTGACCATAAGACAAATTAATCCTATTCACACACTAATTCTTTTTACTCCCTCCGTCCCGCTGGAAAGTTCCCAGTTTCCTTTTTTGGACGTCCCAATGGAAAGTTACCATTTCCATAAATGGAAGGAATTTGTATATGAAATGCCTAATCTACCCATCCCATTTATTTACCCTTCTTTCCCAAAAATAAATCACTGCACCCCAATAACTCTCCCAACGCACCTTCCCCACTTTATCCGGCCACATTTACTCTCGCCACTCACGTTCCCCACTCGCTCTCTCTCTCTCTCTCTACAACGTGCGAACATCTTCTTCTGGCTCAAGGGCATGGAATCCTCCACCAACCCTACACCTCCCGCAGATGAACAACCCGTTTCTGTGTCACCTTCGAAATCAGACTCCAAACGGCTATCCATTTCCGATGGCCACCCACCTGTAACAGACCCTAGCCCCTGTGGTTCTGAAAAAGGATCGGTAACCCATTCTCAAATTGTTCCCCTCGAATACACTGACGACAATGAAGAATCTGACCATGCATGTTGGTGGACAACATCATCGGACACTGATCCAGGTTGGAAGCTGCGGAAGTGGTATGGATCCTAGTGCGCTGAGTCTCAAGAATCAATTGAAGAAGGCGAGGAGGTTAACTCCTTCGACTGCATGTTTCCAGATCCCTATGCGGATGTATTTCGGGACACTCCTTAAGGGAAGTCTCTGTAATCCTACAGTATGTGTATTGCGTATGGTTTTTGCCCAATTCGAATTTGAAATTGTGCTTATTGGCTAATTCATCTGACAAATGATGAAATTACTTAGCTTCTTTCTTAATTACTGTTTCTGCATGAGTCTGATTGTGTTGTTGACCTTACTGTGTGAGCCTTAACTATGAATATGCCAAACTACATATGCCACCAACTTTAAATAAGTGTAGGAGGCTATGTCTTTGTATTTGTGCTCTTTGCTAATGATGATAGGGCTCAACTTACACTAATCTGAGGCACTGCACTTAGAGTACTTGCCCTTTGTGTGCTTAGCTTACTGCTTATACTGATGATGATGGGGTTGTGTGGTTACTGAATGAGTAAACTGATGATGGTCCCACATTTAAAGCCAATTTATGTGTTGTTGCCTTAACTACATATGCCACTCACTTTGAATAAGTGTAGGAGGCTATGTCTTTGTATTTGTGCTCTCAGACTCCTATGTCTACTTGCTTGCACTTCATATGTCCCTTAACTACATATGCCACCCACTTTGGTTAAGTGTAGGGGGTTATGTGTTTGTATATGTGCTTTCTGACTCCTATGTCTACTTGCTTGCACTTCAAATGTCCCTTAACTGCATATGCCACCCACTTTGGTTAAGTGTAGGAGGCTATGTGTTTGTATATGTTCTTTCTGACTCATTGTGTGAGTTAGATGGTGCATTTGTGTGAGTTAGATTTTTACCATTGACCTCATAGCACACATGTCTGCCAATAAGTGTACAAAAACATTAGCAAAAAAAATAAACTACACTGCCTCTACATTTTGATATTGTAGGTTAGGCATGAATGGCAGTACATACATAAATTGTACACTTCCCCTACATGTAAAGATGTTCCTTTGAAAGTGTACATACAAAAAAGCTGTCCAATAGTAGTAGTGTACATAAAAAAAAATTGTACACTTCCCTACATACAAAAAACATGTCCTTACCCAGTTCATTCTTGATGATGAGCCTCATCATCAGTTATGAACTGAGATTCACTTCCCCGCATCTCTTGTGATTCTTCCCCTTGTGTTTGCATCTCAATGAGAGTCTGCCTAGCTTCATCCACCAAACGTGGATTGATTTCCATATTCTCGGGCAACATCCCCTGTCTGTCAAGCTTATCCTTACCAACATGTTTTAGCTTAAAATGATTTCCACCCTTGTGCATCAGTATTTGTTCCATCACACACTGATAACTTAAAAATGCTTTGTTCAAAGTATAGGCTGTGAGCTCATGAAAAGCATTTGTCACAGCTTTAGTTAAGTCAACAATAGTTTTAGGGGATTTCTGTTCCTTCAGTGTATCAATTGCACGAAAAAAACCTAAGTCTAGGACATTTAGGTCCGGGCTGTTAGCTGGCTGGTAAGAAAGCTTTATATTCCAGCCATCACGACTTGCTGCCTCCATAAAATCTGCATCATCTAGCTTAACATGTGACCTTGCATTATCTTGTTGAATTATGATGTTTCTATTATCTGCATCTGGCCATTTAGCTTTGAGTGCTGGTAGAACTTTGTGTAGCAGCATCTCCTTAATAACATCTCTGGTTACTTTTAATGCGGGTTTAGTCTCTAAAGTGCCTGCTGGTCTATTTCTACTAGCCCTTTTTGCTCTTTCCTCATATGTGAATGGAAATATACCTACCTTTCCATCCCACAACACTGTCCCATTGGCCCCAAACCTAGGCCTACCTACAACTGCTAAAAACATGATTTTGGGTATAAATCTTTTTGATTGGGCAGATCTGTAGGGGTCAGGTTCACTGGGATGGGTGTAGTATGTTGTGGTTTCTTTTGATAAAAAAAAAACACTTCTCGTCTATGTGAATATGATCAAAGAAATGATGAAATGTGGAGTTTAAGGGCATAGGCCTAGGCACTACATGAGAGAGGCAGAACTGTAACCTCTTAATTTTACCAGCATGTGTGAGGAATGGCTTTATGGCATTGGAATGTCTCTTTATTTGTTTAGCTTGGACTAATCTGTGCACAGAACTCTTTGAGATGTTAAGGGCATAACCCAAAGACCGGATGTTCTTTCTCTTATGAAGTGGAATGACTTTTAATTGCTCCATGTCAAAAACTACTGTCTTCCTTCCCAAACTTCCCTTAAATTGGCTTTGAACATTAATTGAGACCCCATCATTCAGTTGGCTGTGAGCTCGGACCCATAATTTGTTCACAGTACGCCTAGAACAGTTGAACTGTGTAGCCGTTTTTCCCACAATGCCCCTCTGAAGTTTCCCATTATGATAATGACTTAAAAGTTTTTCCACCAAACTGCTTTTCTCTGCATTACTTAGCTTACTTGTTCTGCGACTTGCAGTGTCACTTTCTTCATTTGTTTGTGGTTCAGGTACAGCAGGAGTAGCAGTTGCAAATGGTGTTGAAGAAGGTGCAGTCTGAGTTGGGGCACCTGTAGGAGGCTCTTTTCGGGCAGAGAGAGACAAAGATAAATCCATGTGTAGTAAATGTGGTAGATGAGGTAGTTGTAGGCATTTAAAGAAAAGGAATGGAGGGAATTTTGAATTTTTGGTGTACTTGTAGCATTAACCTCCAATTTTTTGGAGGGTTTTGTAAGCATTCGTACGTATAGAGTAGCTTTCTGCCCCTGTAGAACCATCACATCATTAATAAAGTTTTTACCCCATTTATTTGATTGTTTTTACCCCCTTTCCCTTCTTTTTCTTTTCCGGTTTTGGGCAGCACGTGTGGGGGTGGGAGGGCATTTAGGGAAAGTCAACTGTAAAATAACTTTTGCATAAAAATGTGTGAGGGTCAAAGGGGGAACATTCCATCGGGACGGAGGGAGTAATAAATAAAATTTATATATTCAGAAACTACATTAAAAATTTACAAAGCGTGATCAAGAAATTTGAAGTTTGATAAAAATTTGATATATATATAAGGAAAAATATTAGAAATGATTTAAGATGACCATCTGAATAATGATTTGGAATCTTTGAATGAGACAGAGGTACTGGTAATATATATGGAGTATATAGATGAATCTTCATGCCAGGCCGGCCTGACCGGGACAGTCGTCTGACCGAACCCGTTTGGGGGTCTTCCCGGTGGAAGTTTATGATGAAATGTTTTGAACATATCCTTCATCAAGTCAAGTTTACTCATACCAAATTTCAGCTAAAAATTCAATCGAAAAGACGATCAAATAAATTATTTAAGAACACTGCGCAGCTAATATATATAAAAAACATGATAGTCCTATTTTGGAATTTCAAAACGTTTTTACTCCTATTTAGGGCAATTTCTAATCTAAAAATTATGAATTCAAATGATTGGACTCATTTGCAATTTAAGTGGAAATCAATTTTAATTGACATGACTCTACTTTATTAGTAAATTAGATTTCATTCATGCATGGCACATGTACTATGCTAGTGTTTGTTATAGAACACTGATAGAAGTATAGAACACAAATTCAGCCAGTAAATGAATGGATTGCAGAGCGTTAAGTTATCCGACACATTGTTCAAAATCACATATCATGCAATTTTTCAGTTACAATTTTTCAGTATCTTTAGGACTTCATACTTTAACTGTCCATGATGAGCTTGTTTGGAGAAAAATATGCTTGAAGAAAAATGTAGGAATGACAGTGTGTTCTTTTCTTACAAAATTTGGAGGCGGTAAGAATGGTTTATTAGAAGAGCATGACGCATCACCAATCACTGTAATATGAACAATATTGTACTGAACCATATCTAACATCATACAATGACACACAACATTCAACACATAGATTAGCATAAGAGAAAATGGCATGATTAAACTAATATTTCCTGTGATTTAAGATTTGATTTTGAAGTTCTATGAATTCGATTAAAAAATGCGATTTTACAATCTTGTCAGGTCTTCGACGTAGATTACCTCTAAGAAAACAGTGCAATCTATTCTTTATTTGGTGTCTTTGTGTATAAAATTTGTGCCAACTTTATTCACTATTGAGAGCTCGTTTAGTAAACCGTGATTTGAGTTTAGAGAACTTTCCTTAAATATGCAGCAGTTCATGTTTATGTTATCTTGCTGTATGGAAGGGTCCTGTTGTCTGTCGATTGCCTGAGACTAAAATTCCTAAAGGCAGCAGGATATGCATGGTATGTTTTTGTAGTACAAATGCAGTTCACAAATTAAAGAGATACACAAGCAAAGAATTTCTTGCTTAGTTGTATTGTTCGATGTAACATTTACTTGAAAGATTTAAACATCACCCACTCATACAGAGTGACAATGCACCAAGCTAATAGTCACACTAACATAAGAAACCAACCAATTTGTAATTAATCCCAATAAAATCCCTAAAAAAAATTAGGTACGTGGACTATATATACTTGAAGACTTAATTAATAAATACTCTATCTGACTATCTAAGTAGAAGAAATTTAAGAAGTAAAGGGAAGACTGAGGCAATGGTAAGATTGTAACTCATGATGATAATTGATAATGATGAAATGAAATGATAAAGTGGAGGAGAAGACCAGCATGGCATTTGTTCAGAAGTCTTGCAGGCCAGATTATTCCAAGTGCAAGATATTCTCGGCAATGATTTGCACCTCGACAGTTTCGATTGATTCGCAAGTACCTTTAGGAAAGTCAGGAAGTCCAGTAATTCCAAATTTCGTCCATACAGGGTATGCCCCGAACTTATCGAATAAAACCCAAAGAGAAGGTGCTCCCTTCAGCATTAGCAGTACAATTTCCCTGGTTGGAGTAGGAGTAATTGAGGTAATCCAAATTGATTCAATGTCTGCCTCCAATGGAAGGGGGAAAGCATGCTTCTTCCAGCAAGATGACGATTCCACAGCAGTCTCCAAGGTCCAAGTAATAATCTGCCTCTTCTGATGGAAATGAAAGCCAGCCGCCCATCCAATTCTAACGAGGATCCTCTGATTTCTTGATATGTTGCTGGAGAAAGAGGTATCACCGTATCAGGTGGAAACTCTCAGACCTGTCGTCTAACGTCACCAGGTTGGAGCCTATGCGAGAGGCTGTATTACCAGCAAAATAGATAATGCCATCAATGCAAACACTTTTCAAGAAAAGTGCTACACAGTAGCACACTACAGAGCTGTTAGGGTTGGTTTGCAACTGCTTTTAAAAAAAGCACTTCTCAGCTTTTGGCTTTTAAAAAAACACTTATTTTCTCAAACAATACAACTTTTATTTTTCTCGGTTTCCGCGTCAAAAGTGCTTTTACTTTTTCTATTACACAAAAAGCACTTATTTTACCAAACCCTACCCACTTTTACTTTTCAAAATCACTTTTTTCTCAAACACTATCAACTTTTATTTAATCACTTCTCTCCATTTCATTAAAAAAAACACTTTTTTAAAAGCAGGAGCTGTTGCAAACAGACCCTTAATCTGTCACCAAACTTCATCCACGCCCAGAGTGAACACCCAGTACTTTTCAGCATCCCACATAAAAACCTTGTACATTCCCGAAACACCAGAATGCCCGTGGCACAGAGATGTTCTAGGGGATAGGTGAAGAATATTTAGCAAATAAGGCCTAGCTAAGAAGCAAAAACTAAAGTAAATGAAAGGTTGAGGAAATGCTAAGCGATGAAATGAAATGGTAAGGTGGACAAGACCAGACCGCCATGGCTTTTGCAGGCAAAATTATTTCAAGTGAAAGAGATTCTCGACAATGTTTTGGGCATCCACCACTTCGAATGCTTCTTTGACACTAGTAGGACAGTCACTCACATCCATAATTTGAATTTTCTTCCAAATGGAGTCTGCCCCGAATTTATCCAATAAAACCCAAAGAGAAGAAGTTACTCCATTCAGCGTTAACACTACGATTTCCCCAGCTGCAGTAGCAGTAATAAAAGGCTTCCAAAACAATTCACTGCCCAATGGAAAGGGGAAAGTATGCTTCTTCCAGCACGATGTCGATTTCGCTGCTGTCTCTGCTGCCGTCTCCAATGTCCAAGCAATCAATTGCTTGTTCTGATGGAGATAAATGACAGCAAACCGCCCTCTGAATTCTAGTAAAGAGGATTTTCTCACATCTTCTTTATAAATTGTTGGAGGAAGAGGTATCAGGTGGAAACTCTCCGAACGAACATCGAATGCCACCAGCTCAATGGGAGCATTCCCAAATGTCTCCCACCAGCGGCCGCAGAGATCATTGTAGGAATAGATCACGCCGTTGATGCAAACGCTATTCATGAAACGTCTGCTTAAGTAAAACAATACAGGGCTCTTGATCTCCCTCCACGTTTTATCCACACCGAGTGTGAACACCCAGTACTTCACAGTCCTCCTGTAAAAGTTAATTACCGACAGCAAAACCTTGTATGTTCCCGAAACGCCGTCGTAACCCAAGAGCGCACAGGAAAACCCGGGGATTGCCGGGAGAGTAGTACGTTGTCCTGCGGCAAGGTTTAATACATTCAAATCTGGATGGGTTTGCTCGTGGAAGAAACATATTTGATCTTTGGCAAAAGACACAGATCTTCCATACCCGACCCATACTTTGTCCATATGCGGAACAATTTTTGCTTGAACGAGATCTCCGGCTCGATCTTCTGTATAGTTTATGGTGTAAAATTGATGTGGCGTGGAAACGAGCACAGGACACGGGATTGAGTGATGATGATCCGTCGTAAGCATATGCCAAATAGAGAAGAGGATGGTTGTGCCGTGGTTAAGAGCCGCTGACCAATTTCGATGAAACTCTGCGAAACTTGGATCGGTCAATATGGAGCGGAAAGATTTAGAAACGCAGCTTAGCTTCCCCCGAGATCTGGCGCCAAGTCGAACCAGGATCTGGAAAAGGATATCACGGGGAAGAAATGAAAGCTGTAAGAGATCCGTCATGTTTTGAGGTCTGCTCATCGTCCGTGGAGGTTGATTTATTAGGATGGCGATGTGCTGGGCCTGTTTACTCGTTACTCCGTATTTGTCATTCTCTGGGTTTTTTTTATGTGTGCTTGGCACTTTTTGTTGAACTATCAAGTGCTTGTTCAAAAGTTCAAAACTATGACAGTGACGTTTTTTTAAAGATGACAGTATGACGTGATTGGTCATATATCATCAAATTTTTTTACCCGTAGTTTATTAAATTAGGACCATTCTTGGTGTACACAAGATGTACACAAAATGTATACATTGTCTGTGTACACAGGCATTTGACATCAAGTCTTTTCACTTTTTAAATGAATTGCCTGTGTACACAAGCAACTAGGGGGGTTTTGTGTACAATTTGTGTACAACTTGTGTATACTAAGCATTTTCCATTAAATTAACCCTTTTCACTAAACATTTTATATAAAAAAATCCAATTTTTTATATGGCTAGTTGTGAGTTGAATGGGGTTAAATTATTGTAAATGGTTATTTTAGTTTACTCCCTCCATTCCGTCGGGATGTTTCCACTTTCCTTTTATGGATGTCCCAAAAAAAAATCTTTCTCTGAATGGAAAGTTGTCCTACAGCAAAATAGTGTCAAACAGTGTCCAAATAGTGTCAAACAGTGTCCAAATAGTAAAATTTACTCCCGATAAGTTTATTTCTTTAATATGTGTAGGTCAAACCGAGAACATCCCAATAGGACAGAGGGAGTATGTATTAATTTTCTTTTTTTAGGAAAAATAACTTTAAATAATACAAATTATCAAACATAATTTGAAAATACTTTTAATAACACCAAGTATATATACATGGATTTTTCAATGAGAATTCAATTATTTAATCCGTCAAAAACTAGTTTCAAAATATCAAATAAATATATCCAAATATTATTTGTTTGATAGTTTGATATTAGTTTTTAATTTCTTAAATGACTGTATTTCTTGATGAAAAGTAACTTCAAATTATATTTATTTTATATTCAAATAGTTGGTATTATTAAAAACTATTTTCAAAATATGTATATATTGATTTATGGTTGATAGTTTGTATTGTATAAAGTTGATTTCTCTTTATTGTATTAATAAGATAAATTTTAAAGATTGTGTGTTGAATTGTGAAATATTTTAAATAGAGTCGCTAGGTGCTAGTAGAGGCGGACCCAGGAAATCCGTCTTGGGGGGGTTCAAAATATTTTTTGGAGGGGCGAAAATTATTTTTTGAAGGGGTGAAAATTATTTTTCATATATATATCCTAGAATTTTTTTGTTGTGGGGGCGGTTGCCCCCCTGGGTCTGTACTACAGTCCGCCCCTGGGTGCTAGCCATTAGGGATGTGCTTGGATGTACGTTTTTATTTTCATGATATTAGATTCATAATTGTAACTATTGCGAAAATTAAGGTATCACATATAGTGGCTGCAACAGCTGAAATTTGGTAGTGGCTGCAACAGCTGAAATTTCTGATTTGGCTTAAATGACTCAAAGTTTTGACGTGAAAGTGTTTGGTATTATTTTGGCTGAAGTGGCTGATTGAATGTGTAATTACCATAAAGGGTATTAATATTATTATTAATGTGTCTAAGTGTTTCAATTACCAATTAAATAAAAAAATGTTGAAGGGGGTGGATACTATAATACGAAGTACTGTATATAATACTCGTATTTGTTGAAAGACCGTGGCTTGAATCTAATATGCAGTACGAAGTGCACCCAGAAAATGATTTAGCCATGGTTACAACCTTCCAGGGGTGAGTGTTTTAGTTAAAAACATGAATAAAAATGTCTTTTAATAGCTTAATAGTAGAAAAATAAATTTCAGCTGAAAAAGTAGCAATATACTTACTTTTTGAGCTGATCAGAAAAAACAGCCAGATCAGCCCATTGCATTAGTGTTTGGTTATTTTTATAGATTTTAAGTCTTATAAGCCAGTTTCTAGTCCTCCAAACGGGCACATAAACCGTCTGCAAATCAAATGGAGTAGCTCATATGCTTGCTAAACCTGCTTTTTCTTTGTTTGATCGTATAGTATGAGTCGTATGACTACGGTACACCTCATTTAAATTATAAGCCATCTGGCTAATGATTTAGTTAATTAATGAATTACATCTATATTTAAAAAAAAAAGTCTTGATGACTAGCTAGATAACTAGAACTCGTAATTTAAAAAGGGTTCTTCAAAGAAAAGTAATAATGTCTTTGTCCCTAATAACTTTTTTTTGACTGAATATGTCCCTAATAATTTTATTAACGTTGACTTACACATATAATAAAAAAAAATTGTGTTGAGGTTCATTTGGAGGTGAGAAAATTGACCACAATCACTATTCTCTGTTTAAAAGGGAAAATTACAAAACTAGTAGAACATCTAGAGCCCGTTTGGAGAACTCTGTTTTCGGCTTATCAGGCTTATCAGCCAGCTTTTTCACCAAACACGTAACTTTTACTTTCGCGCGCTGAATTGTGTAATAAGCCGAAAAAGTAAGGTTGAAGTTACTTTTCTGGCTGTATTGGCTGAAGTTACTGTAGAGGATCATTTTAGCTATTTTTACATATAATTTTTTCTTTAATTTATTAATAAAATATATTTTTAAAATATTTTTTTCTTAAATCAGCAGAATCAGCCAAAACAGCCACTCCAGCCAGAATATCATAAATTTCAGCAGAATCAGCCAAAACAGCCGATTTTGGTGCTACCAAACGGGCTCCTAAAAAGGTGTGGGAGTATTAGGGAAAAGGTAGGAATATACCCTTTTTGTATGAATATGGGAACAAATATATTCAAATCGACGGTCTTGAACATCTACAACTGAGGTCGCGACGGAAAAATTGGTTGGGACAACCGCCGGCGCGAGTTCTTCGTCGCTCACAGATCGGAACTCCACTGCTAGTCTGGCGCAAATTGTTCGTCGCTTACCTGGGGACCGAGCACCTGAAGTCCTGCCCCTACTCACATGGGCTGATTTGTTTCGTAGTGACAAGGACAAAATAACCCATATCTTGGACGTGCCCCCTATCTCAGCCACAACACCCATGTCACACTCAGAAGAGGTGAACATCTCTTTAGTAAACGAAACTACCACACCTTCACAAATAATTCAGACAGATCAGGCGGCCCCCAGTGATTCAGAAACCTTTCATTTCTTTGGGGAAGAAGGGTTTGACTCAATTAGAATTGAATCTAAACTCTTTAAATTTGCAATAAAAAACAATGAAGTTTCTATTTTCGAGATCTACAAGTCTCTACTAAACAAGATTACTTTCAATCTGAATTTGGCTCCTCAAATCACCCGTTTTATCTCTCAGCTCATAAAGTCAGATCAAACTTATCGGCAGCAAAGGAGATTTGGATCTATCATGGTTTCCTCAGAATTCAACAAATCAGGCCGCTTCTTGAAAATTGCTAAAGAAAAAGGAAGTTTCATCTTGATTCCAACAGGTCCAAAAAATTCCAGACTACTCAGATTTCTCGATATTTTTGCAAATTTGGTAGGATATTCTGAATGAATGCGGGAGGAACCAATGCATCTGGATCACGTGTCCACGACATGCACGGAGGAAATCACATCAATTTCCAAACTTATTTTCAATTCTCAAATTCAGGGAGCCTACGCCGAGAAACACAACAAGTTTCCATCTCCAGAGAAACACTCCAAACTTCCTTTGAATCAGGCTTACTCAGACGCCTCAGACAACTTCGACCCATCGGATGACTCATATTTTTCAGACGACTTTCTAGGGCACGCTACAGAAAGCGATCGTCGTCCACCAATTTCCGGTAGGGATGACATTTGGGACTCCACCTTCAACAGAGAGATTTGTCACAAATCGCAGTTTGTCACTCACGACACTTGTCTTCCTACTGATAATCTGAATACTCAGCTCAAAATCTACCGCAAAACGCAACATAACAAACGGAGACATAGCATGCGGGCTAGATCACAATCTAAGCATTTCCCTTGGGCCTAGCTATTTTTACTTTATTTTCTTTCTTTTCCTTTTTCCTTTTGTACTCTTTTCCATGCTTTATTTCCTATTTTAGCATTGTAATCTTTCTTTTCATTGTTCAATAAAATTTCTGTTTTGCCAAAAAAAACATATACTGATACACACCCCTGAACTTTTAAAAGATGCAAAAATATCCATCATGTTCCTATGAGCAAATTTTCTCTAATTGACTTAAAATAAATAAAATATATTTCAAAAATCACAAAAAATAAATTATAAATTTGAAATTGAAAAAAAAATCTACTTGTTTCCAATTCTCCCTTTTATTGTTTTTATATCACAACGAAAAATAATAAGTTTTCAATTTAAAATTAAAGAGTAAATAATTTAACATAAAAATAAATATTTATTCTTAACTCTTTAATTTTTCTTTATTTTTCGATTTCAAATTTATAATTTATTTTTGGTGTTTTTTTAAAATTGATATTATTTATTTAAAGTCAATAAGGTTAAATTTGCTCATATATAGGAACATGAGGGGTATTTGTGCACCTTTTAAAAGTTTAGGAGTATATATGCACTTACGCATAAACTTCAGGATATATTTGTTACAAACAATAGAACATGTATATATTTGTCCTCACACTCATACTATATGGGTATATTTGTTCTTTTTCCCGGGAGTATCATGCTCAACATGACGCTCTCACAATATAACAACTACTCCGTAATATATATGAATACAAAAAAACCACATATTATATATAAGGGTGATCTCAAGTAAAAAGTAGTCTTCACATTTAAGCGAGAACAAATCTTGGTCTTTAACCACTTGTAGATTGTTGAATTAGATGAACATTAATTACAAGACACGGTTTCAAAAAGTATGCAAATCTTGGCCTTTAACCCTGTTAATATGGAAAAATTGTGTATGCACGTCATTGGTACATGTTTTTTATACACGCTTCTAGTTGTTTGTGTACACCCAACAATTTATCACAGCAAATATTAGAAAATTGTACCAAATTGTGTATGTGAAGTGTAATATACTATCTTGGTTTTATATATTTGTTTGATAGAAACGTCGTTAGGTTTAATATCTTGGTCTTACGTTGGGTTGGTGGAGTGGAGGTGGTTTCAATCCCTAGAGTTTCTTTGAAGCAATTATATGTGTTATTAATGTTTTTTGGTATGGTTTCTGTGTTCAATTAGGTTTGCAATTTGAATGTGAATTAAGAAGGGTTAATAAGTTACTTCATCAAATCCTTCATTCTCCAGAGAAGAATTAAGAATGCAGGACCCAATAAAAGCAGCAAGGTGAGTGCTTATAGATTCAATTTCATTGACTGAATCTTCTTTGCTGTTGACTTCTTTGAACAACAGTGGAAGACTATGATCATCATAATACTTTTTGCTGCTTCTTTGGTTATTTTTGTCTGTGCCATTGTTTACAGGACAACGTCTCTTGCTCCAACCGGGCGAAAGCTTAAGAATGCAAGATTCTCAGATTATGACTCCGCCTCTTCGTCTCCGATTAATCCAAACAGAAGTTCAAGGGCACCAAAAAGCAGGAGCTTGAAAGTAAATGATCGACGCTCTCCCCAAAGCTCTGTCGTTGAGGTACTTGTTTGCAGGGGCGTGGCTAGGGCTATAACAAATTTAAGGTGAAAAATCTGCATAAAAAACTTTCAAAAAAATGTGGTATCGACCGAGCCCAATGTACTGCCCTGGTTACGCCATTGCTTGTTTGGGTACTGCTTTATGAAATTCAAGTCATAAGTTTCACTAAAAAGTCCCATGAAAATACAATGTAGTGCAAGTGCATGGTATATACAAAGTTCGAAATCTTATATTACCATCCTTATTCCGCCAATGCTTACCTCGTTCATTTGCTACCGCAACTCAATTACTCAAGAGAGTATGTTGGGGTGCCCTTACGTGTTTAAACAAATACTTGTGAGCCTTATTTCCTAGTTGTTGTGTAGTCCTATGTATGTGGTTCATCCTATTTTGCGTGAAATGCAGCATGGATACAGAGAGTATAAAAACAATTTAAGTGACCATCTTCTTTTCTGCTTGCATTGAGCAACTTTCTTCATTTTTGGTGAACTATAAAAAATAGAGATAGTTTAAGTGGCTCCCTTCTTTTCTTTTTGATTTATGCAACTTCCTTTAATAGAGAGGGATTAGCTATAGTCTATGAAAAGGGCTGGTTTGGTTTCCTTTGGTGTCAAGATAGTTAACGCACAACACAAGCAACCTATTTGATCCATAAGCAGATAAAAGAAACAAAAAAAAAATCAAAACTAACTGAAATCAAACCAAAACAAACCAAACAAAATAAAATATATGGAGTTCTATTTACGATTTAAGGGTTATGCTTTAAAAGCAAACTGAGCCGGAAAAAATCAACTCAAACATGTCAAAACCAACTGAAACTCACACAAATTAAACAATACTCCGTAATAACTTAGGTGCCTTAGGATACTTGGTTCACTTCTAAGTTTTGCATTTCTCAACAAACGACAATAACAAAGCTAGCAAAACTGAAACTCTTGATAATACAAGGGTTGGTCTGCTGGATACTTCTTACCTTCAGGTATTCTGTTTTTCTGTTTTTCATATAAACCCAATCATTTGAAATTCAATCATTTCACATAAACTCTGCTTACCCTTCTACTAGGTATACATTACAGTAATACTCTTCACATAAAATGTTGTATAAGATATATTCCTTAATTTCCATGCCAGACTGAATGTGCAACCAAAGTGACTCTCTTCTTCTTTTCTGCTTGCATTGTGCAACTTCCTTCATTGTTGGTGAGCAATAAAAAATGGAGATAGTTTAAGTGGTGCTCTTCTTTTCTTTCTTGCTTTATCCAAATTCCTTCATTAGAGGGATAGCGAGCTATGAAAAGGGGTGGTTCGGTTTCCTTTGGTGTCTAGATAGTTGAGATACAATACAAGCAACCTACTTGGTCTAAGCAAAACAATTGAAATTAACCGAAATCAAACCAAAGAATACTAAATCACACCAAAACAACCCAAACGTCAATAAATCATATAGGGTTCTATTTACGATTTAAGGGTTATGCTTTAAAAGCAATATGAATAAGAAAAAATCAACTCAAACGTGTCAAAAGCAACTAAAACTCACACAAATTAAACAAAAATAACTTAGGTGTCTTAGGTTAGTTACTTGGTTCACTTCTAAGTTCTGCATTTTTCAACAACTGCAATAAGCAAGATACCAAACTGAAACTCTTGATAATGCAAGTGTTGGATACTTCTTACCTTCATGTATTCTGTTCTTCATATAAACTCAATCATATGCAATTCAATCATTTCACATAAACTCATACTTTAACTTTCTACTAGCTAGGTATACATTACAATAATATTCTTCACATAAAATGTTGTATATATAAGATTTTCCTAAATTTTCATGCCAGACTAAATGTGCAACCAAAGTGTCTGATCTGGACACTCGATTTCAACAACTCCAGGAAGAGCTGAAGAAGGCAAAAGAGCAGTTAAGTTCATCTGAATCAATGAAGAAGAAGGCACAACAAGAAGCACAAGAGACTAAGAAACAGTTAGCAGCCATGTCACTCAAACTCGAAGAATCTCATAAACAACTAATTGACCTCTCAGATTCCGAATCATCTCGTCTCCGAGAACTTCTACAAATCTCACACGATCGAGACCGAGCCTGGGAATCCGAACTCGAGGCACTCCGTAACCAACACGATTTGGACATTTCTGCCATGGCTGAAATCCAGAAGCTCAAGGCTCAAATCCATCACATGGGATTGGAGATCGCCGAGAATCTCGCTCTGCTCGAGGATTTCAAATCTCAGCTAAACGAATCCAAAGCTTCTGAAGCCCAGACGATGAGCGAACTCAAAAAAGCGGAGATGAAACTGGAAGTTTCTCGAATGACCGAAGAAACACTACGCGACGATTTATTAAAAGCCGATGAAGCATATAAATCGTTAATTTTGGCTCTTGCGAGCTTAAAGGCCTCTTTGGTTGATCAAGAGACGAAACTGAAATATCTGAATGAGGAGAATGGTCTCTTAAAGTCGGAAATCCAGGAAAGGGTTGACAGAAAGAACACAATCAAAGATGAAATTATTGATTTAAAAGAGGTTGAGATTATTGAAGAACAAGAATCCATGGTGGAAGAAGATAAGATCACTGAAAAACCTGAAAATTGGGAGATAGAGGATGAACTGAGAAAGCTAAAAGTGCAATGTAATCAGTGGAGAAAAGCGGCAGAAGCAGCTGCGGCTATTCTGTCAGGCGAAAGCAATGGGAAACACTCCATGGATTATCATACTCTGGGCGGGAAGCTGGGGACGCCATTGTCAGATGATGACTTTGAAGAAGAGTGGTCCAAGAAGAAGAATGGGAAAGTGCTTAAGAAATTTGGAATTCTGTTGAAAAAAAGTCAAAGGTAGAATTGCTATTTTCAAAAGAAGGTGCAATTAAGCTCACACATAGTCCTTAGAGGCTTAGGGTCTGTTTGCAACAGCTTCTGCTTTTAAAAAAATGCTTTTTTAAATGAAATGAGGAAAAGTGATTAAATAAAAGTTGATAGTATTTGAGAAAAAAGTGATTTTGAAAAGTAAAAGTGGGTAGTGTTTGGTAAAATAAGTGCTTTTTGTGTAATAGAAAAAGTAAAAGCACTTTTGACGCGGAAGCCGAGAAAAATAAAAATTGTAGTGTTTGAGAAAATAAGTGTTTTTTTAAAGCCAAAAGCTGAGAAGTGCTTTTTTAAAAGCAGTTGCAAACCAACCCTTAGAATATGTAAAGACTGGGACATGTTACTAAAAGTGTGATAATTGTGCTTTTTTATCACTTGTAGTATGTATTTACGCAAATGCTATAGGTATCCCAATTGTTACTCCAACCTATTTTTGTAACTCACAAAAGCTCACCTCAATAAATGAATTGTCCCACTTTAATGAGGTGTTTTTGGGAGCCACAAAAATATGGTGGGGTACAAATTGGGGTATCAATTGGGGTACTTTAGCATTTTTCATGTATTTATCGTGATAATTGACTCTTTTCGTCATACGTGTAAGATAACACTTAGGTGAATATGCATATTGTAATAAACTCTTGATAATATAATACAAAGTAAAATTGAAAGACTTGTATATTTGGGGTCCGTTTGGTGATCCTATGTTTCAGTGTATTAGCTTTCAGTTAGTTTTTTCGCCAAACATGTAAGGTTGGAGTAATAATAAGAAAAGGTAATATACTCCCTAAAAAGTGGTCCAGAGCAACGGCGCAGCTAGGGTTTCGGCCATCGTCTGCGGAGTTTTGGCAGCGGCGCTGTGAGTCTCACGACGAGAGCGTCCCAGTGTTTCGCTAGCAGGTTTTCGATTGGAGTGCAGGCGAGATTCTTGGAGGTTTGTGGTTGGAAGTTTATCGCAGACCATCTACAGATTGTTTGTGCCTGCGATTCAGCGGGAAGGCCAAGAATTATTGCGTACAACAAGAGCTGCGGCATTACCGAACAAGGAAGAGGCCAAGAGCATCTGCGCGATAGAGAGTGAGGTAAATGGAATTCAGTGCTTTCAAAGGTGACAGTGGATCTGAGGCGGCAATGGTCTCAGACCCGAGATTCTGATGATTGGTTTGGCAATTTTGGCCCTGGCAGTTGCTGAATTGGGAGTTACACCAGTTGTGTTTGATCCGGGTGGAGCACTAGAGATACGGGGTTCAGTTAAAAGGGGTGAAGCTGGGCTCGAGGTGGTTGTTGGTAGGGGTGGAGACAGGGAGGGGCTGGAGGTGGCCACGGCCCCTGCAACAAAAAAATTTCTTAAGTATATATTATGTATAAATACTTTTAATCTGTAAAAAGTATGTTGATATTTTAAAAAGGGCTTCTGCAATGTAAAATTGTTAAGGACTGGCCCCTTTAACCCTAAATGTCTGGCTCCGCCACTGGTTGTTGGGGGATTGGTGCGGGTGTTCTGGCCGTCTCAGGTGGTGAAAGCAGAATATGGTAGGCGGGTGATTCATCCCCTCCTGAACCTCCGCCACAGAGGAATTATGAGACTAGGGCTTCGAAATCGGTGGTGCAACTTATACTTATTTATTTTTGTTATATTTTGTTGGGTAATTTTTATTATGCTTCTATTAGGTCAAATAATAAGTGTGGTAGTTTCTTAGTTTGGGTTACCAAAGCTTTTAGATTTCTGGTGAGAGGCAATCAGGCTGATTCAGCCGCTAATAGCCTCAAAGCTCTCACATTTTCAACGATTAGTCTCGCTCTTTTTTGGGTGAACTACTCTATGTCTGATAAAGAAGTGAGGGGCCGGAAGGTTTCTGGATATGTTTGGTTAGATGGAGGGTAGTGTCAGGTGTTTACGTTTATTGTTTACAATTTCTTCTGATTGTACTGAGAGTTCTGACTTAATATATATGCTAGTTTTCCTTTCAAAAAAATAAGAAAAAGTAAAATTGTAGTTACTTTTCTGACTGTATCGGCTGAAGTTACTGTAGAAGATCTTTTTAGTTTTTTTCATATAATTTTTAGTTTATTTTATTAGTAAAATATTTTCTAAATTAATTATTACATATATCAGCAGAATCAGTCCATCCAACTACTGCAGTCGGAACATCATAAATTTCAACAACATCAGCTAATCAACCTATTTCAGTGTTACCAAACAGACTCGTAAAGAACCTGATGAAAAAGGAGTGAATTGTAATCCCTGTGTTTTTGGCATGTGAAGCCGTGTTGAATGCGAAAAAAATCAACTTTTTGCACCAAGAACAACCAATGAATGTTTGATCAAATATGATTTACTAATAGGTTGATCAAATTTGAAAGACGTTTAAGTAAGAAGTGTGACAAAATAAAGAAGGCTCATAAAAAAAAAAGAAAAAAGAAAGAAAATTAAAGAAGGCTCATATGGCTGTGTGATAATGAACAATCCTCAATCCATATAAGCTTATTGACAACAATCCTTGGCCGATACACCCTTACTGCCTTACACATACCTTCGTTCCTTAATAGGATATCTTTCCTTCTTTCGCTTACATCAGGGCCCGTGGACGAGGGTGTGCAAAGCGTGTCTTTACACGGGGCATGCAAAAACATCAAACCTTTTTTTTTTTTGTAAAATCTATATAATATATATGTATATGGAGAGATGATTTCCCCGGGCTGCACGGGAACGGCCATCCGGCCAAGACCATGTGAGACTCTTCCCGATGAAATTTTTTTAAGAAATTTTATGAGCATGTTCTTCATCAAATTTAGATTATTTCCACAAAACTTGAACTTAAAATTCAATTGAGAAGTCTGTTAAATAACCTATTGAAACATATTGCGCTTTATGTAGATATAAAGCACAGTATGTTTCAATAATTTATTTAACTGACTTCCCAATTTAATTTTAATCTGAAATTTTGTGGGCATAAACTAAACTTCATGAAAAACATGTTCAAAAACTTTCATTAAAAAATTCTGCCGTGAAGGCCCCCAAATGGCCTTGTCCGGACAGAGTTCCGGACAGATGGTTCGCTCCGGATCTGTATATAAAGTACTTGAAAACGCCCAACCGAAACAAAAGCAAACAGATGATTAAAGAACCCTTCCAATTTCCATATTAAATTAAATGAAAAATAAAAGTTAAATAATCTTTCCAATTTCCAAATCAATTCAGCAACTTGGCTTTTGCACGAGTTATCGGTTTCTCTTTTTCGACTCCTGACATTCAATACAAATTAGTGTAATTATTTTTTAAAATAGTTGATTACTTTATTTGTCCGAATGATCCAATTATTCAGGTTATCCAACCAATGGCAAAAAAATCACTTTTTCTTATCCTATTTTCATTCCTTCATTTCCCATTTTAGATTTTTTACTAATTTTATTTATTCAAGTTCGAAAAAGTGATCATTTTTCAATCTCACATTTGGTTGTAGTTTTTTTAATTTTCTTAAGGTTGATTTTTGGTACGTATTGTATTCATTTAATATATGGTCTATTTTTTGTGACTTGCACCGGGTCTCCTAATCTATTGAGCCGGCCCTGGAGCCTTACATTTTGTTCTATTATCACATTCATGAGCTTCAGCGTTTGAACTGAACGTTCCGAAATTGATCCTTGACCAGGTTTGATGCTTTCACCATTCATCCTTAAGGCAAAGAGCGATTTGTAACAAAATACGGAGTAACATACTAGTAACTACTAAGGTTGAAAACTGGACCAAGAATAAAATCAGATTTGCTAAAAGTAGAAACCGTAAATTGGATTGAATATTCCGAATTTTATCCTAGACTGAACAAATTTAACCGGTTCAAAACACAAACTTGACCGGAAAATGGTTTCTAGTTTATTGTTTTTTACTAAAAACACAACTAGTATTTTGATAAAGAGGGTTTTTTTTTAAAGAAAATAGTTAACTTTCATTCATAGAATCATGTTGAGTACATGAAAAATAAAATGAGGAGGATAATCATCCCAAGAAATACAATAAGACAAAGAATAAGCAGCTTTAGCTAATTCGTGAGCCACCATATTCACTGATCGTCTAATATGAGTAAAAGAGATGTCGGTAAGACCCAAACTAATCTCTCAAATATCGCCACCAATAATCCCTGCTAAAGAAATACTCGACTCCTGAAGAACCTCTGCCACTGCCCCGAAGAGTCTGACTCCACCTCTACACAATCCCAGCCTCTTCCTTTCATCCAGCTTAATGCTTCCCTTTTGTCTATCAGATCGGCTTCCGATGGAGACAAACTTCCTTGTCAAACCTTTGACACACCTGCAACAAATTTCCCGGAATCATCTCTTAAAACCCAACCTAGGCCGCACAAATTTTCTCTCACGGCCGCATCCAGTTCAACTTCTACCAGGATAATGTCTTCTCCAAACTGAAATTGCAGCCCATCCTTGAGTACTTTCCCCGCCCACCGGTTTCTGCGTCAGTCTCCAACCATCCACAAACATCCTGGTCTTCACCAATATTTGCTTCCAGTCTCCACAATAGGCCTGGACTCGGGCCGGTCGGACCGAACTGGAACCGGCCCGGCCCGGGAACCGGTCAAGTGGACAGTTCAGGCCTAAACGGCCCGGTAGGTAAGCGGTCCGGGCTCGGGCCCTGCAAATGACGAACCGGCCCGGTTGGGCTGGGCCCGGTCCGGGCCTCAACGGCTATTTTTTTTAATTAAACAAGGCTCCCTAGCCGTTGGGAATAATCCCAAACGGCTCTATAGCCGTTGGAGGGGGAGGGAGGGTCGGGGGGTTTTGGGGGGGTGGGGGATACCAAAAAAAATCCTATTTATACTTCTATTTTCTCTACATTTTACACACCATCTTTAATCTTCATACAATCCTACTCTCTAATTTTCTATTTTCTCATTCTCAATCATCTCCATCTTCATCTTCTCCAAATCCCTCTACATATATATATTATTTATATAATTATTATATCTACTTATATATTAATTATCTACTTATATACATATATTATATTACTAATATATTATCTACTTAATATATACTTATTATCTACTTATAAATCTCCATCTTTTTAATATTTACTTTGATATCTACTTATTATCTATATTTATTGTTATTTACTTATATATATTAAAGTATTGTATATAAGTGTATTACTCATGTTATAGTAATATACTTATATATTATATACTATAAACATTATATTATATATTAGTTACAAGTTACACTTGAATTCATAGTAATTAAATTCATCGTATTAGTTAATTTTTACATTTCTCATTATCCTAATTTAGTTAATTAATACTTGTCTCGTTTTTTCTATTACTTAAATTTTTTTAATTGTTACATTTTTCATTAAAGTATAAAACTAGTTAATTGTTACATTTTTCATTTCCCTATTACTTAATTTGTTAATTGTTGCATTTATCATAAAAGTATAAAACTAGTTAATTGACACATATTTCATTAAAGTATAAAACTAGTTAATTGTTACATTTTTCATTTCCCTATTATTTAATTTGTCAATTGTTGCATTTATCATAAAAGTATAAAACTAGTTAATTGTTACATTTTTCATTAAAGTATAAAACTAGTTAATTGTTACGTGAGTTATTTTTGTGGTTTTATGATGGAAAAGTTTTTAAAATATTATG